GTTGAGCGCGTAGTAGCCGTGAGATTGACCAGGAGCGTGCTCAACCTATCTGCAGCGAAGTACGCCACCGGGTCTACTCTGATCCACTACGACGACGATGTTAACCCAGCCTTTCACTATTATGAGTGTGTAGGCACCGGCCTGAACATCTCTCAAATCACTGGTAGCACTCACTCCAGACTCATCCAGTGCCTGACGTCACAAGTTCCTTCCCTAGGATTTCATGACGACCTTGCCAAGTATCAACACTTGGACACACCGTCTGGAGGACCCGACCAGCCTAGAGACAGGCCTCCTCCGGACACCCCAGGTGTTTCATCACCAAGTGAAGGTCGCCTGTCTACTATCTACGAAGAAAGCGAGGAACACGACATCGAGGCTATGATGATGGAGGAGTGGTACGATGAGTTGCGTATGGACCTTCATCCCACAACGGTTATCGACGACTATCTCTACTGCGTCCCAACTACCATGCTGCCCGACCAATGGGTCTTGGCCTCAGCATCTGTGGACGAGGAAGATACCGTTGTGTCGGAGATGCTCGGAGTCGAGCCTGAGCAACAAGAACCCTGCCTTGTCTCTTTATGCTCGACTACACCTGACGAGGGCTATTCTCTTGACAGTGAAGAACATGGCCCCTATGTCGAGCTATGTTTCACGCCAGAAATGTCAAAGATCGTGCTGGATCAGACCCAGCTCGCACAGCTCGAACCAAACATGGTCGCAACGATGAGAGTATACGTATCATCGGCTGCTAAACGTGCTGTAGTAGTCAAAGAAGACGACCTACTCACCAAAGCCGACATAGCAGCACATCCTAAAGAGGCTAGTGAAGCCTTGCACACCGAACTCAATATCTGGCTTGACAACCGATGCAGTGAGATGTATGGCCAATCAAAAGCTTCCAACATCATGACATCCAGATATGCATACAAGTGGAAGTTTGTGAAAGTAGGCACCGAGAATGTTAAGACTATCCGTATTAGACTTATCCTCCGCGGATTCATGGACACGGAGGTTTTCGATGTAGAAACCTTCTCGGGAATTGCCCGCCGACAGTCCCAGAGGCTTCTGGCAAGCGAGGCGGCATGTCATCCAGAATGGATCTTAGCATCTATGGGCATCGACAAAGCGTTCCTCAAAGGACTGAAATATGAGGAACTTGCTCATGCCACTGGCGAGGAAACTCGCATGGTTTGCTTCACCCTGCCACCAGGAAGTGCCCAGGTGCTTCGCACACTACCAGCCTTCTCTTCTCACGGTGAAAGCCGACGCTGCCTCAGGTGCCTCCAGCCAGGAACGAGCACAAAGGACGCCCCAAGAGCGTTCTCCCTCAAGCTTCGTACGACTACTCGAGCTATAGGCCTTACACCGACAAGCTACGATCCTGAATTTGAATTCAGTCAGGATCTGTTAACAGCATAACATGTCGACGACATCAATATGACAGGCCTAGAGAAACACGTAGACGACTATGTACAACGTGTCGAAAAGGTGTTTGGTACATGTAAGCTCGACGAACATTATTACACGAATTGCGCCGTTCGCTACACGAAGAATGAACAAGGGGATGTGATCATGGACCAGGACGAGTATATTAAACAACTACGTCCTACCACGCATCCTGAGCTTACGGGGGCAGCGGCAGACGCCAAGGCTACCAAACTCATCACCGACATGTTCGTTAGCCTGCGAGGAGCTCTCGCCTATGCCCTTCTTACTCTGGTCTGGCCCATGGTGCGCGTGGTATATCTCCAGAAGATTCAAGAGCCCACCAACTTACAAGTCAGACGACTGAATGCTGTGACGCGAAAGCTGATCAGCAGCCCGAAACGCATCACCTTCCCTCGGATAAACCGACGAATGAAGTAGACATACACAGTGATTCGGGGTATCGGAAACTCACCGGGGAGGAGGGCGATGAAACCAAGGGCTACGGCATTCGTGGGGCGAACGTACTACGGCGAGGAAACTCGCCCCAAGGCGAATCCGTCATTCACCTTTGCGACGGACTACGCAAGTCACACCGACTGCAGGTGAGGCCCACCTATGCCGCTGAGGCACTTGCAGCTGCACATAATCTTGATGAATGCTACCCCACGCTCATCACTCTCCACGAGCTCAAGGCCGGAGCACTTACCCCACGACAACTACGAGATATGCGCGAAGTTGGAGGCCTAGCTATCAAAGTATCCCTAGACGCTGAGTCTGTATTCAAATCGTTATCCAGCAAAGCCCTTAAGATACCGACGGAACGTACTTTGCTGGGACACATCAGCTGGATACGTGAGCTCATGGGTATAGGTATAGTGCATAACGTACAGTGGTGTGACACTAGAGACATGACCGCAGACGGGCATACGAAGGGGAGTATCGATCGGGAGCTGCTTGTGGAAGTGATGTCAGGCACTCAGTCATTTGAGTATGACGTGAAGCAGTTTGTTCCCTTTCGGGGCCCCGATGACAAAACCAAACATAAGTCGAATCATTTTTAGTCCGTCCTTGTTGCCCCTGCGGTCCAGTTTGCCAGCACGGGCGCCTAATGCGGAGGCGCCCTCTTTCCTGCTCGGAAACGAGCCATACTTTTCACGCTTGGCAACGAGCCTGTTCAGATTGGTTCAGGCTCTTTGCCTTGATAGGAGAATAGCCTGTTTGGCTTACCTCCAGCCGGGCCGATAGCCCTTGTATATCCGAGGGGCTATCCTGCGCGTGCGTGGAAAAGTTTTGCGAGGAAGCTCGCCGGCGAATAACCTAGCCCTTCAGTCTGGTGGTTGACCAGACTGCGTGTACTGTTTTCCTTGCAAACAGAGTTGCGCGCCTGTCGAGAGCCTAGCGACCGCGCGGCTTTACGTTCCGTCTCCTCCCCTCCCGACTTTAAGGGTAGCTCTTTGGGAAATGTTGTATGTAAACGGGAGTATAGCCTGCGCGTCGCTGCCTTATGGCTCAAGGCACGCGCGCCCGATTTGCCCGGATACCTGACTTGGTATTCGCTATGTGCTGGAAAGATCACTACATCGATCTTATCCTATTTCACTCATCCACACCCCACATCGTATTCCTTCGACATGGACTTGGATGCAATATGACCTACCAGAGTCATTTCTGACTCGCCAGAGGAACCGCCGGGGCTTGTTGGGGCAAGGTCAGCGCCCACCCAAGGTACCTGCGCAGCCCACCGAGAGCCCCTGCATTGCAACCGAGGAGCTCACATCATAACGCCCACACTGTGTTCGGGATCGGCTTTGCCTTTCGGGCAGATACTTCGATGCAGATTCAGGAGTTTGTGTGTGGCCAAGGCCCGCCATGGCCAAGAAAAGCCCACATCGACCTGGCACCACAATGAAAGCATATAGGGGGGCACAAAGTTATGGTTTGGGTACGTTCCAAGATCCTCAAGACTTCCTATTGTTCCGCGCGGGTTCCAGAAACGAGGGCCGTTAGATTTGTTGGGTTTATTGAAACGCATACTGGGCCAATCGCCATTTGAGCGACGGAGGATAAACAAAGGGGCCGATTGCGCGGACATTGGCGCGTAAATTTCCTGCGCAAGCTCGCGCGCAGGCACCCTCTTCTCCATTCGGTGTGCCACGCTGACAGCCCGCGCAAAACCGCGGCGTAACGAAGGCTTGCTTGCCAGACTGCGCACGGCCCTTCTCTTTTCGTCGTTCATATGTGCGTCGTTGTGGGGCATTTTGGCAGGGCAAGGGCTAGGGCGGCTTCCAAGCACATCATGGCATCTTTCTCCTCACATGCGGCGGGTTTTGGAAATCTTGTGTCCAAATCAGGTGGCGTCTCCTGGGGGCGCATATTTGATGTCCGCCGGCGCAGCTTCCTTCGTGTCATTTCCGCCGCCTCCCGCCGGGGAAGATACGGCAACTTCTATATCCCTTAACGGCGACGATTTTTTTCTGGAACGCGCCGTGTGTTGAACGGCGGAAGAGAAACAAAGGGATCGATAGCGCGTACATGTGCGCGTAAATTTCCCGCGCGCATTCGCGTGCAAGCGCCGCTTTCTGTCTTCGCTGCGCGGCGCTGGCGGACCGCGCAAGCCGCGGCGCAACGAAGGCCCGCATGCCATCGCGCGTGCAGCCCGTTGTTTCGTCGCTCATGTGTGCGCGTGTGTCGTTTCGGGCCACTGTGGCAATTCAAGGGCAAGAGCGGTTTCCAATCGCATCGCGACGTTTCTCTCCTCACACGTGGCGGGCCCAGGGAACCCTGAATGTCAAACTGGCTGGCATGCGGATGGCGGAAACAAGGACGGGAGGAGGGAGGGCCGGGGGGGGGAGGAGGTCCGTAGCAATTTTGGCTCAAGGCTAAATGCTGTGAAGGACTATAGACGTCCGAGAATCAGCGATTCGCTGTGGACTCCCGCTCCGCAGGGGGGACAACCACCCTTTTGGCCGCCGGGTGGCCACGCCGCGTGGCGAGCCCTTCGGCCTCGGCCCCGCCCTCTGTTTCTTCTGCGCCGCGGGTTTGGTCTCCTCCCTGCAGCCAGTGGACCACGCCGCTGGCGCTGGCGTCGCCGCCCGCGGCAAAAGGGCCACCCGCCGGCTCGGCGGAAACAACTCCGACGAGGCGCCGCCGAGGAAGCACCCTGCGCTGGACGACGGCATCGGGCGATTCGAGAAGATCGAAGGTGAGGAGGACATGGTGGAGCAGATGGACGCACGGTTTCCTGGCGCCCGTGCCGTGGGAGGGATCGTCGACCTGCTGCAGGACGAAGAGCTGCACTCGACGCTGGAGGGCGCCCGCTCCCCCAGTCTCCTTGGCACCCCACGAGTTGACAGTGACGAGGGACCTGGAGGCCGTGCTGGCACTGGCGGCTCCAGCCCTCCTCGGTTCACCCCTGGGGTTTTCTCGGGAGCGGAGGCCACGGCTCGTGCGACGAGTGACTCAGAAGCTCTGCTGGCCTCGCTCGCCCCCGTCAACAAACAGCTCACGTTCGTGGCGGAGCGGATGATGATTATAAGCGCGCGCGGCTCAAACAGTACATGGATAAGACCAGGTTCGACGTCACGTCCAGCCTGGCGATCGCGCAGCAGTCTCTCTCGAGCCTCAGCTCGACGATGGGGGGGCACTGCGCGAGCATCGACAAAGCGGTCGAGAAGCGGACGTGCAAGGTGGAACACAGGGTGGACCTCCACGACACGAGGGTCACCAAGCTCGAGGCGGAGCTGCAGGAGTTGCGGGGCCTCCTCGGGCCCACGCGGTGCGAAGAGGTGCCGCGCCCGCCGGTGGGCGCGGGCGGCTTCGTCGACAGGGATATCGACCCGACGATGCTTGTGGTGCGTGTTCAAGGACAAGTACCTCGCGAGCATGTCGCCAAGGCGGCGGGGCCGCCGCTTGCCGACTTCAACATGGCCCCAGCGGACTACTCCGTGGAGGGCGAGCCTGCGGACAAGCTCTTCCGGGTGGTGGTCAAGGGCCAGAAGGCCTACTCATTGAGGCGCGCGTGTCAGGCCGCGGGCGTTCTCAGGCTTCGTGGCCGAGGAGCGGGCTGGAGGAGGATCGCGACTCCATCGCCGATGGGCGGAGCCGACGTGGAGTTGTCGACCAGCGCGGACAAGGGCCCGCAGATGGTGGCGAAGGAGCTGGGGTGCAAGAAGATCCAGCGCCCCCTCTTGGCCCTGCACCCGCGTCGTCGTTTTTATTGTGGGTAAGGAGAAGAGGGTGGTCAGCTCGGGCTGGAACGAGTTGGTCAGCTTTGACCCTGCCCCTGGATCCCAGCCTCCGAAGATCCACTTCAGCGTCAAGAGCGTGGATGCCCCGGGCGTGGACTCGGAGGCGATCCGCCAGCTTTTCGAGCAGTCAGAGGCGACAAAGCGGTGTTTTAGCAATATCTTGCAGGCGTGGCAGGGGTCCTCGCCTTGCCGCTCGAGCCCGACGATTACGAGCTGGAGCGCACGAGCACTGCTGCGCCGCGGCCTGAGTATCCGTGGGAAGAAACCGCCTATCTCAGGAACCTCTTCCCCGTCTACCACCCTCGGGATCCAGGAGCCCCACGGGGCCCTGGCGGAGGTGGAGGACATGGTGCATCAGATCCATAAGCCGGCCAAGATGTTTCACTCCTTCTTCGACGGTGTCGAAGGCGCCGAGAGAGCGAATGTCGGCGGCGCGCTAACCTTCTTTCCAGACTTGGGTGCTCAGGCCACCTGCCATCCGAAAGTCTTGGTCCCAGGGAAGGCGCTGAATGTGAAAGTGGTTTTTTGGCGAGTCAGGGGGCTGCTTGATTCCCCGCGGGAACGCCCATAATTTTGGCCCCATGAGGGACGAAACGCCCCAGGCAGCCAGATCGATCGAAGATGATTTTTCATGTGGCGAAGCGCATTCCCGACCGCGCTGCGATGATTCTGGCCGGGTGGTTCAATCTCAGCCCGCGCCCGCCTCGCCCGAGTCTGCCTGGCGGAGCGAGGGGCCCCAAATTCCAGCCGAACTTGGGCCGCCACGAGTGGCGCGTGAGCAGGCGCCCACTTTGGCGGGGCCTCTTTAGCAAGTTAGTTGAGGCGGGGCAGTCGGACCCGACCCGCCGCAGCTCAGCGAACGATTCCACGAGCCTCATAGATCGGATCGTTGCGTCTCTCCCTGGGTGGGGCCCCATTTAGTTGACTGCTTTGGGGGCGGCGAAAGACCCCGGAGCGGAGGCCACGGCTCGTGCGACGAGTGGCTCAGCAAGCTCTGCTGGCCTCGCTCGCCCCCGTCGACAAACAGCTCATGTTCGTGGCGGAGCGGGTGGTGATTCTGAGCGTGCGCAGGTCAGACAGTACATGGATAAGACCAGGTTCGACGTCATGTCCAGCCTGGCGATCGCGCAGCAGTCCCTCTCGAGCCTCAGCTCGACGATGGGGGGGGGGGGTGCGCTGCGCGAGTATCAACAAAGCGGTCGAGAAGCGGACGTGCAAGGTGGAACACAGGGTGGACCTCCACGACACGAGGGGCACCAAGCTCGAGGCGGAGCTGCAGGAGCTGCGGGGCCTCCTCGGGCCCACGCGGTGCGAGGAGGTGCCGCGCCCGCCGGTGGGCGCGGGCGGCTTCGTCGACAGGGATATCGACCCGACGATGCTTGTGGTGCGTGTTCAAGGACAAGTACCTCGCGAGCAGGTCGCCAAGGCGGCGGGGCCGCCGCTTGCCGACTTCAACATGGCCCCAGCGGACTACTCCGTGGAGGGCGAGCCTGCGGACAAGCTCTTCTGGGTGGTGGCCAAGGGCCAGAAGGCCTACTCATTGAGGCGCGCGTGTCAGGCCGCGGGCGTTCTCAGGCTTCGTGGCCGAGGAGCGGGCTGGAGGAGAATCGCGACTCCAGCGCCGATGGGCGGAGCCGACGTGGAGTTGTCGACCAGCGCGGACAAGGGCCCGCAGATGGTGGCGAAGGCGCTGGGGTGCAAGAAGATCCAGCGCCCCCTCTTGGCCCTGCACCCGCGTCGTCGTTTTTTGTGGTCAGCTCGGGCTGGAAGGAGTTGGTCAGCTTTGACCCTGCCCCTGGATCCCAGCCTCCGAAGATCCACTTCAGCGTCAAGAACGTGGATGCCCCGGGCGTGGGCTCGGAGGCGATCCGCCGCGCCGTCGCCCAGCTTGTCGAGCAGTCAGAGGCGACAGACTTTTTTATGAAAATTCAAATGCAGGCGCGGCAGGGGCCCTCGCCTTGCCGCTCGAGCCCGACGATTACGAGCTGGAACGCACGAGCACTGCTGCGCCGCGGCCTGAGTATCCGTGGGAAGAAGACCGCCTATCTCAGGAAACTCTTCCCCGTCTACCACACTCGGGATCCAGGGGCCCCGCGGGGCCCTGGCGGAGGTGGAGGACATGGTGCATCAGATCCATAAGCCGGCCCAGACGTTTCACTCCTTCTTCGACGGCGTCGAAGGCGCCGAGGGAGCGAATGTCGGCGGCGCGCCAACCTTCCTTCTAGACTCGGGTGCTCAGGTCACCTGCCATCCGAAAGTCTTGGTCCCAGGGCGGGCGCTGAGTGTGAAAGTGGTTTTTGGCGAGTCAGGGGACTGCTGGATCTCCCACTGGAACGCCCATAATTTTGGCCCCACGAGGGGCGAAACGCCCCAGGCAGCCAAATCGATCGAAGATGATTTTTCAAGAGGCGAAGCGCATTCCCGACCGCGCTGCGACGATTCTGGCTGGGTGGTTGGTTAATCTCAGCCCGCGCCCGCCTCGCCCGAGTCTGCCTGGCGGAGCGAGGGGCCCCAAATTCCAGCCGAACTTGGGCCGCCGCGAGCGGCGCGTAAGCAGGCGCCCACTTTGGCGGGGCCTCCTTAGCAAGTTAGTTGCGGCGGGGCAGTCGGGCCCGACCCGCCGCAGCTCAGCGAACGATTCCACGAGCCTCATAGATCGGATCGTTGCGTCTCTCCCTGGGTGGGGCCCCATTTAGTTGACTGCTTTGGGGATGGCGAAAGACCCGGTCGGAGTTATGCGCCGCTCGGACATCTCGGATCATGTCCCCGCCTCGGTCGACCTCAAGGGTGCCCCGAGGGCCCGCAGGGAAATCTTCTGCTCGCGCTGCTTCCAGAGGTTCATGGGGGCTCATCTTGGCGCGATCTCGCGGGGGGGCCTCTCGCCGCCGCTGAAGGTAGAGTATCTCATGGTGGAAGGAGCCAGGTTTGCAAGCAACGCCATTCTGCATCAGGGACCATCGTCGAGGCTTGCGCGCAGCACCCCTCATCTTTCGGTCGCTCGAGCGGTTTGGAGACAGGGCGCGATACTCGACCCCGTCTTCTTACGGGCGCACCCTGCTGCTCGGTCTTTGCTCGGCCTTGACGCGCGCAGCGGGCGTCTTTGGCTTCTAGATCCTGATTGGTTTGCAGCGGGCCTTGATCAGCTGCAGTCTGCCGACCTCGAGGCCCAGATAGCCACCCTCAAGAGCAGCTCCAAGGGGGATACCCCAGAAAGCTTCGCTGGAAACGACGTCAACAACAACGGAGGCTTGAAAAACGAGCTGCGCTTGGGGCCCCATTTGACAGGAGACAGCGCTTTACAGAGATCAGGTTAGGCGACGGTGTGGCTGCGACGCCCAGGCCAATGTCCACTGCGATCTGCAGCGATTGGCAATGTGTTTTTGGCCCCAAAGCTGTTCCCCACACGCGCGCTGGCGCCTGCGCGGACAGATTTGGAGGCGGCATGGATTTGTTCGATGCCCCCCCCCCCCCCCCCTCTCTCGCTGGAGCACGGCAGAAGCTGCGGGCCCTGGGTGGCCGTGCGCCAGGCCCAGATAGGCCCCTGCACGCGGCATGGCGATCCTCCCCCATGGCAGCGGAGCTGCTGGACGAGTATATATGGTGGATTATGGGTGGGAACTCCCCTTTTCCAGCTTCCATTCTTTTCTCTGAATCTTCATTCCTAAGGCGCGGGGGCGGGGGTGGGGGTGGGGGGGGGGCGACGAGCGCGGCGCCGTCCGCGACGCCAGCTCGCCGCGGCCGCTCGGCTTGAAGAACTCGGAGAAGAAGAAGCTCACCAGCCTGGCGGTGCGCCTTTTTCCGGCGAAGATGGCGGAAGTAAGCTGCGGGCGCCAGGGGGGATTTACCATTGGTCGGCAATTCGGGGAGAACGCTATAGAGCTGGATAACCATGCCCGTCTCGCGTCGACGCCGGATACCGCGGAGGAGGACCCCCCCGCCAACTTTTCCTACGACTTTGCCCAGGCGTCCCCTTCGGTCTCGCAGTCTTGGATGATAAGAGTCCTGGGGCGAATGAAGCTCCCTGGGCCCATGACCAGAACGCGCAGCGTTTCGGTGCCCTGGGCGGCCCCGCGGCCTGGCGATTCTCGATCTAGTCTGGGATCATCCAAGGGCGCCCAGCGAGCGGGGCTCTTTTCGCAACGACTTGGAACCCTTTCCTGCTGGACTTTGAAACCAACTTCGCGGGCAAGTATATGGGCGCCATTCTTGCCTGTGCCGACGACCTGGGCGGGGCAATCCTGAAGCTACGCAACATCGCGGCGACCCTTAGAATCCCCTGGTGGACTCAGAAACTCTCGGACCTCATCCTGGAAACGACGAAGTGCTTCACTGCCCCGTTGCGCGGCCTTTTCTCCGCTGAGCTGGCAGCAAAGTACTCCGAGGCCCTCTCGGAGATGGTCCCTGAATGGTCCGCCTTTGTCGCGGCCCCGAATCTGGGCGTGGGCGGGGCCGAACTCGCGTGGCAAATCGCGGCTCGGGCCCCCTGGGAAGTGGCGCTCTCGGGGGCACCACTCAGCAAGAGCCAGCCCGCCCACCCAAGTTGCTGCCCAGCTTTACTCATCAAGATGCGCCACGACACCCTCGCACGTCGCCCAGTTCTTGCCGCCGCCGCAGCAGCTGCTCGAGCAGGAGGCCGCGATGTCGGCCAAGGTTTTCCTCCGCCCCATGTGCTTCGAGCAGGCTGGGATGGTTCAGCGTGGGGAAATGGCGTGGACCTCGCATTCCTTCTATCACCCACTCCGCCCACGCCGCCCACGGTCGCTTTGATCCGTCTGTTTTCTCTTCCTGCTGGCCGAGATTAGCGCGGCGCCTTCGAGCGCAGGCTCTCAGGGGGCTACATTGCGGCTGTCGCGCGCGGCGAATGGGCACCGCATTGGTGGTGGGGGGGGACCGCCATGCGCCAGCGTCCGATGCTCGCCGCTGCTGGCTTCCCCGACGACCCCAAACTGGAGCATCTGGCACCGGGGCATGAGGAGGTTCGTGGACTGATGGCCGAAGCCGCAGCTGCGGCCCGCGAGGGCCGCCGCCCGCGCAGGATCCGTACACAGCGTATTTCGATGGCCTCCTCCACGGCCACCCTTTCTGCAGCGGGCGCCCCGAGGTTTCTGTTCATCCGTCCGCTCTGGAGCTGGCCCCCCGACCTTGAGCCGAAAATCGAGGCCATCGATTGGCCAGGGGTCTCTTTGAACACGTCCAGGTTAAAGGTCTCGCACGCGCTTCCCCTCGCGCGAACGCTTTCGAAGGCCCGACTCATTCAACGGAGGCCCCAGCAGACGGGAGCCACCTGCATTCTCGGTTGTGCCGCCGCCGACTGCATGAGGCACTGCCGGGCGTGCCCAATATTGCGGGAGTTGCTTGTCGAGGTGGTGGGCGGGGGGTTTGGTGACGTGGGTGGGCGGGGCGGGATCGACACTCTTGGGCTCATCGAGCCGACGCCTGCGCGTCTCGAGGTGCCAGTGGCACTTTGCTTTCTTGGCGCTGAATAAGGGGCCGGACGCGCCCGCGTCCGGCTGCCCCTCACCCGGAGGGAGGCCGCCGCCCTCGCTCCCGCAGCGCGCTTCGATAGCGCGCGCGGCGGCAGGGCAAACAGACCGAGCGCCCGGCCACGCGCGAGGAGCGGGAGGAGGAGGAGGAGGAGGAGAGGAAATAATGGAACGCGGGGACTGTCTCTTCAGAGCAAAGACCCAACGCCACCAGATGGTTGGCACAAAGGTTGTCTTCTCTTGGGGGCGCATCTTTGAGTTTTGCGGGCGGGGCCTCCCTCATCCCTCCCCCGCCGAGGAAGACATGGCAGATTCTCTATCCTTCAGAGGCGAGGCCCGTTTTGGAACGCGCCGTGTGTGTATGCATGTGAGTATGTATGTATCTATGATGTGTACGTATGTATGCATGGATGGGAGGGGGGGGGGTCGAGCACCCCCCCCTCCCGTGACGGGGGGGTCGAACCCCGTCCCCCTCTCCTGCTTCCCGTCTCCTCGGGCCGGCGCTTGCGTCGGCGGCGGCGACGGCGGCGGGGACGACGATTTCCATTCCTGGGCCGGCGCCAGCGCTTGCGGCGGCGGGCTGCGGTGGCGGGGAGCGTCGACGAGGACGACGGTGGTGGTGGTGGTGGGTTGTGGTGGTGGTGGTGGCGGTGGTGGTGGTGGTTGTGGTGATGGTGGTGTGGTAGTTTCTTGTGGTGGTGGTGGTTGTGACGATGAGTGGTGGTGGTGGTGGTGGGAGTGGTGGTTGTGGCGATGGTGGTGGTGTTGTGGTAGATTGTGGCGGTGGCGGTAGTGGTGGTGGGTTCTTGTGGTGGTGGTGGTGGTGGTGATAGTGAGTTGTGGTGGTGGTGGTTGTGGTGGTGTGGTGGTGGTGTGGTGGTGGTTTGTGGTAGTGGTGGTGGTGGTGGTGGTGGTGTTGTGGTGGGTTGTGGTGGTGGCGGTGGTTTGTGGACGTTTGTTGTGGTGGTGGTGGTGGTGGTGGTGGTGGCGGTGGTGGTGGTGGTGGTGTGGTGGTTTGTGCTGGTGGCGGTGGGTCGTGCTGCTGGTAGTGGTGGTGGTTGTGGCGGTGGTGGTGGTGTGGTCGATTGTGGTGGTGGTGGTGGTGGTTCTGGTGGTGGTGGTAGTGGTGGTGGGTTTTTGTGGTGGTGGTGGTGGTGGTGGTGATGGTGAGTTGTGATGGTGGTGGTGGTGGTGGCTGTGTTGGTGGTGGTGGTTGTTCTGTGGTGATGTTGGTGGTGGTGGTGGTGGTGGGTTGAGGCGGTGGTGGTGGTGGTAATGGTGGTGGTGGTGGTAGTGGTGGTAAGTGTCGCTGCGTCCCCGCCGTCGCCGGCGCCAGCGCCGGCTCTGCTGGCCACCGCCAGCGCCAGCGCCGGCGCGAACGGGGGTGTTGAACCCCCTCCTTTCCTCCGGCGCCAAGGGGAGGGGGGGTTTGAACCCCCTCCGTCCCCCCCCTGGGCTGCCTCTGGTCATCGTCGCTGCGTCCCCGCTGTGGGCGTTGTTGGCGGCCGCCACCGCCGGCGCCGGCGCCGAAAGGGGGGGGGGAGTTTTGAACCGCCCCCCCCGGAGAGGGGGGGGAGGGTCGGGAGGGGGGGGGGTTTGGAGGGGGGGAGTCCCCTTGGTTTTGATGGACGGCGCCGGGCTTTGGGGGGGGGCCCACCCCCCAGTTCGAAACGCGCCGCCGAATGTTCCCCAGGCAAGCGCCCGTGACACGCGTTTTTCGCATGTAAGTATGTATGTATTGTGTACGCAGGTGTATGTACGAACGAATGAGTATGCGCATGTATGTATGTTTGTACGTATGTGTGTGTGTGTGTGCGCACGCATGTTACGCATGAATCCATGTATGCAGGCCTGCATGCGTGAGCGTATGTATGTGTGCATGTATGCACGCATGCATGTATATGTGTGTATGTGTATGTGCGTTCATGAATGCATGCATGTACGCATACATGTAGTTATGAGTATATATATACATATGATTGCATGTGTGTATGTATGTGTGTATGTCGCTATGCAGATATATGGATGCATATACGTACGCATGCAAGTACGTATGTATGCATGTATGTACGTGGTATGTGTGTATGTAACGCTATATATATATATGTACATGATTGGTTGTAGGCGTGTGTATGTTTGTATGTATGCATGTATGTCTGTGTTTGTGAGCGTGTGTGTGTGAACGTGTTTGTGTGTGTCTGTGTGTTTGTGATTGTGTTTGTATGTGTGTGTGCGTGGGTGTGTGGGTGTGCGGGTGTGATGGTGTGTGGGTTGGTGTGTGGGTGCGTGGGTGCGTGGGTCCGTGGGTGCGTGAGTGTGTGGGTGCGTGCGTGGGTGCGTGCGTGCGTGCGTGCGTGTGTGCGTGTGTATGTGTGCGTGTGTTTGCGTGCGTGCGTGCGTGTGTGTGTGTGTGTCCTCTTGAACCCCTCTGGCAGGGCAAGGATAGGTAAGGGCGTCTTCCAGCACAATGCGAGCATTCGTGCGTAAATTTTCCCGCATGAGGTCGCGCGCAAGCGTTCTCTTCTCCACGCGGTGCGCCGCACGGGCTGCCCGCGCAAGCCGCGGTGCAATGAAATACAGGCGAGACCCTGTCTGGAATATTGTGTGAAATTGGCCCGTGTGCCCCGTGTGGTCTAATGACAATGTACGGCGCCATGTCCAGTAAATCACCAGTACCCAGAACAACAACCGGACGCTGGCCGACCAATTCATCAAACGGGCCACGCGGGCCCAGAACAGCATCCACACATTATGTTCGAGGGCTAGGATGCGCTCCACCGCAACATCAGTCGCTAATCCAAGTACCGCTTGCGTAAACAAGCATCTAGAATTTTGGTGGAACGCCCCTTGGCCATCGAACAACACTATGGATTGGAGTTTGTTTGGCCTCCGTGCCCCATTTGATGTTTTTGGGGGCGTCGTTTGTTCGCTGTTGCACACTACTTCTGCATCCTAGCAAGCCATGCATGCACACGCATTGCTTGGCCACCGTGCGTGCTGGCAGGCTCTTCTCGTCGCACATTTGTGTGTGCGCGTGTCGTTGCGGCCCGCCATCGCAGGGCAAGGGCAAGGGCGGCTTCCAGCCCTACTGAGGCCCGCGCCCGCGGCGGCCTCCCCGCGAGCTGGCCGCGCCCCGCCCCGCCCCTCCGCCGGCGGAGGGCGCGTGCGCTCGGGCCGGTCTCGCGGTACCTCCTCGCCGCCGCCGCGGGCGCCTGCCGCCGCAGCCGCCGCCGCGAGGGGAACACCTGGCATCGCTCGGACGTGTGCGTTTTTTCTCGGCGAGAACCATCGAGGACCATCCTGGACCATCGAGGAAAAAAAACACGTTCGAAACCGGAAAATGCACGGGAAATGGACGTCCGAGCGACGGCGAGGTATTGGCATCAGCATGGGCTTTCGGATCGGCGCTGGAGCCCCCCTGGCAGAGACTCAAGCGCCGCCCATGGCGCCCTCCGCGCGCCAGGGAGGTCGCCATGGGAGACAAGGGTCCCGAGGGAACCGGGTCCTTGGATTTCTCGCCGTCTCCGGACCCTCGGGGCCCCCCACGGTCCCCGGGATTGTCAGAGAGCGAGTCAGGATGAAGATCTCGTCTCCGGGGAAAGCCTCAGATCCGTTTCCTTCAGGACCCGTCTCCACCATGCTCAGGAGGGGGGCCCAGCGCCGATCCAAGAAATCACCGCGGATCCCCAGCAGGTTGCGTTTATGCCATTACTTGTGCCTCGAGCGGCGGCGTCGCCGCCGCCGACGTAGCTGTCGACCGCCGTCGCGGTCGCTTTCGCGGTCGCCGTCGCTTTCGCCGTCACAGATTACGAGGGCTGGTTTTCGATGTCACTCCGTGGCTCTGGACAGGCCTGTATTTAGGCCCCAGGGGGCACCAGACGACCCGCGACGGGGCCAACGTGAGAGAAACGCCGTGTCGTGGGTCTGTGTGTTTTGCCCTTCGCGCCTCCTCTTGCTGGGCTCTCCTCTTCTGAGGTTAGTATGTGCAATTTCCCTTCATGGGTGCTCGAGTCTGCGTGTCGTTCGTGCTGAGTCATGGGCGCTCCTGTCCTCCAGTCTCGCGTGCCGCCCTCCGGTATGACTTTACCGTGGGTGTCCCCACTTCTCGTCCCAAGATATCCATCGCGCGGAAGCATGTCTACAGGGGTGCCCGAAGCCCAGAGGTCGTGCGCAACTCCCCGATCGTGTTCCTCCTCTTCTGGATGATTCTTCCTGCTCTCCTAAACCATTGCACCCTCGGAGGCCCTGTGAGCGAGGTCCGCGGATCAGGGTCCTCGCAGCGGGAGTCCACGACGGGGTGGTGCGGGAGGCGCCCCGCTGGGCACGACCGCTGCAAGCGACCTGCAGCAGCACGGCGAAAGCGAAAGGGAGGTAAGGAGGTGAGCGCTGGACATACTTTTTTTTGATTCGCGGGTCGAGAGCGCACCTCTTCCGGTCGAAGCTAAGTGGGCCGCGCAGAGCTTGAATTACGCAGAGAAGGGGGAGGAGAAGGGGGGCGCAGCCTCAGAACGAGGCCGGGAGGAGGCAAAGCCTCGGAACCAGGCGGTGTCGAAGTCGACGAACTTGCAAAGGAGCACGAGCGCTGGACATACGTTCAATGGCATGTGATCTGTCGGAGGCCCAGCGGACTGCTCGGATCGGCGCTGGGTCCCCCCTTCCCAGGTGCGGCGCCGGAGACGCCGCCAGTGAAAAGCCCAGCGCCGATCCAAGAATCGCGCACGGAGCTCAAATCGACTAGACATAAGAGTGACCTTTCGCCAGGGTGACATCTGGTGCGGGTCCCTTGGAATTCCCAGATCGCCGAGCGCGATGCGATAGTTGCGTCCTGCGCGCTTGTGTTTGGCCTCCCCGCGGCCCCGAAGAAGCCGCGCACCAGAGGTCACTCTTGCCCAGGGTCGCTCGCGCGTGTAGTCTATCAACGGGCTTACGTACGTGCAGCCGTGTTTTCGTCTGTTTCTGATGTTCTGCACGCCGCTCCCAGGGCCTGCCTACTATCTGTTCCGACGCGTGCGGCTGTCACTCCACGGGGTGGCGGGCGCTTGTTTGGCGCGCAGAACTACCCCCGACGCGAGTCGTGTTGCGCGGTCCCTTCGCTAATGGGCGTGCTTTCCACCACCACCACCCTAAGTTGGAGGGGGGATCCTCCTCCTCCTCCTCCTCCTCCTCCTCCTCCTCCTCCTCCTCCTCCTCCTCCTCCTCCTCCTCTCCTTCCTCCACTTGGTTTCCGTTCTGTCCTGACTGGCGGCCCCCGCCGCCCTCCTAATTGGCTCTTGCTACGCGCTTCCCGCGCCGCGTGGCGGGGGTGTCGCTGCCGTTGGCCTTGCTGGCCCCTACCTGCCTTTCCCGCTTCTGTCGGCGCGCGCCGACCGCGCTTTTTCCCGCGTCGCGCCTGTCCTCTCTGACGCGGCCCGCTGCGCTCTGCGCGCTTCTCCTCCTCCTGCTCCGCCCTCCCTCCTCCTCCTCCTCCTCCTCCTCCTCCTCCTTCTCCTCCTCCTCCTCCTCCTCCTCCTCCTCCTCCTCCTCCTCCTCCTCCTCCTCCTCCTCCTCCTCCTCCCTCCTCCTCCTCCTCCTCCTCCTCCTCCTCCTCCTCCTCCTCCTCCTCCTCCTCCTCCTCCTCCTCCTCCTCCTCCTCCTCCTCCTCCTCCTCCTCCTCCTCCTCCCTCTTTTCTTTCTCCTTTTTGTCCTTTTATTTCTCCTTCTCCTCCTCCTCCTCCTCTTTCTCCTCCTCCTCCTCGTCCTCGTCCTCCTCCTCCTCCTCCTCCTCCTCCTCGTCCTCCACCTCCTTCCCCCGTCCAACTTCTGGTGGTGGTGGTGGTGGAAAACAGGCCCATCATTCGCATGTCCCTGCTGCCTCTGAGCTGGCCTGCGACAGCGCTCTCTCCTCGGCTCTCGCCCAAATTCCGCCGCAAGCGGGCGGTCCGTTCCCGCTCGGTCTGACCAGGCGCGTCGGGAGGTGCGCAGAGGACGGGGGAGAGGATGGCAAGGGGGTGGCTTCGAGGGATCCTGGCGTGGCCCGGTGGGCTCCGGATCATTGTTGGGGGACGTCAGGTCGAAGCCGTTGGCGAGAGTTCGGGGGGGGGGCGTGAGAGGCGTCAGGGGCTTTGTGTGTCTGCGCAGGTAGGCTGGCACGCCCGCTGTGGCGCTTGTTGGGCATGTGAAGCAGACCTGGGTCCTCCTCCTCCTCCTCTTCCTCTTCCTCCTCCCTCCTCCTCCTCCTCCTCCTCCTCCTCCTCCTCCTCCTCCTCCTCCTCCTCCTCCTCCTCCTCTCCTCCTCCTCCTCCTCCTCCTCCTCATCCTCCCTCCTCCTCCTCTCCCCCTCCCTCCCTTTGGCATGCCGAGGACAACGGGCGCGCGCCCCGAGCGCGAGTGGACAAGAGAACGCCGCGGGGGCTTCTCGGCGCTGCGGCTCTGGAAAGTGTATGGGTGGGGCGGGAGGATCAGACGCACGGCGGCGCTCGCGCGAGCGCCGAGGGGGCGCGAACATGTACTAAGCAGCGTGGAATGGCGAGGGGCCCCGCTTCCATGCGAGATCGAAGTGCTCGGTCGCCAAAGGAGGCGGCGCTGGCCTCATGCGGCGGGGGGGTACTTTCCCCAAGCCGCGGATCTTGCGCCCACGCGCCAGATCCACGGATCAGCAGTTCCAGGAGCCCAGGAGCGGGAGGTCTGGGTTGACGGAGCCGGCCAGGCGCGCACACGTGCGAGGATCAGGTGGCGCGGTCTGGGGCGGTGGAGCAAGAAGGGAGCAGAGGGCAAGGCAGGAGGGCAAGCAGGGGTGCGGCGGGGAGTTTTGTCGTCGCGGGGTGGCGCGTGAGGCGACACAAAGGCTGTGCAAAGGGCCACGTGGCGGCTCCAGCCCCGCAGCAAGGTGTGTTCCTCTCTCGGTTCGCTGGCGCGCACAGGCCGTTTCCTGGAGCGCGCGCGGCGGATTCTCGGCTCCTCGCGGCCCAGTTGCGTGAAGCGCGCCGGCGCGGCGGTTCTCAACGTGCGGCCGTTGACGATGTGCTGGTCGGTTGCCTCGAAATCTCGCCACTGCGATTGGATCGGCTTGTCAGCGCACCCCACCCCAAGAATATCAGCAACTGTGGCTCTGCAGGCCATTCTGCGCTGGGTCGAGCCAAGCTGGGAGCACGTGTGCTCTTTGCGGGGCGTTGCTTTGTTCCGTCCGTTGGCGCGACTCGGATACGCAGCACTGCTTGCTCGTTTTAGCGGCTCGCGCCTGCCGAACACCAATAGCACAGTGTGAGCTCCACCACACCACCCCGCCATACCACGCTGAAGGAGACAAGGGGCCTGTCTACCATAGAGACTGGCGCCGCACAGGCGCACGCGAATACGACCAAGCATTGAGGGACGATGCCTGCTTCATCGGCTGCCCAGGACGAGCGTCGCTGAGGGGACGAATGCCTGCTTCATCACCCAGACGCGGACACCCATGCAGCCGCTGGTGATGATGGCCCTGTTTCAGCACACAACCGTGCGCGAAGACACGCAGCCACTGACAAGCAACGGTAACAGGGCCACAATCGAAGCATGGGCGCTGCAGCGACGTCAGAAATAATCGCCATGGAGGTCGCAGGCCCCGGGATCTTGACCAGCTCCACCTTGTGGGTTCGGCGCGCCCCTTCGGAGGAGGGACGGGGAGGGGGGACAGGGGGGAGCATGCTCTTGGGTGCGAACCTGTCGTGGCGAGGGGGGTGCACAGAGCGAGAGGCCCTCGGACGTTCCCGGAGGCCCGCCACAGGTCCCAGTGGGCCTCCGGCCCGGAGGCCTCGAGGGCCCCGACACTCGATGGTGGAGCACGGCAGGCGCGCCAACCAAGAAATCTGCGTGGCGCAGGTGCCCCCGCTGGAGATGCTATTGCTAGGGGAACAAGAAGTTACATACGCATTAAAACTCGGAGGTCCGCGCGGATTTCTCGGATCGGCGCTGGGCTCCCCCGGCGGCGCCTCCAGCGCCGCCCCTGGCGCGCCCCGCGCGCCAGGGAGGGGGGTCCAGCGCCGATCCGAGAAATCCGCGCGGACCTCCGAGTTTTATGTTCATGCACTGGTGGCCCGGAGGCCCGCGTTGTCGCAGGAGGCGTGAAGCTCGACCAGGACCGTGCCCCTCGAGCGTTTGCTGCTGAGCTGTCCCGTGCCTCTGCCGTTTCGAGGTTTGCTCGAGGCAGTGGCAGGCGCATGCCATCGCTCTGACGTGTGCGATTTTGATGACCATCGAGCTGCTCGTTTTCACTTCATTCC